AACGGATGTGATATTCGTGTTCGCAGCGTTTCGCAGGTCGGATTACCCCTAGAACCCAACTTTCAGCCAAATCTGCCCCCGCAGAAAAAAGTCGATCAAGATCCAGCCCGTTTTCGGAAAACTGGGGTAGAAATTTGAATAGTGCCGAATATCCTGCCTTCATGTCACCGCCTGTTCCACCCTAGAAACATCGTATGGCTACAGGATTGGGTGCCAGCACATGGAATCGAAAAGCGAGCAGGATTGCGGTTTTAAAGGCAGTTGGCACGACAAGTCCTGGGCGAGGAAGAACAAATACGCCTAGCACGATGGAATCCCGCACCTATGAGCAGGCGCCGTATAGCGCCTCTCTCAAGGAAGGTATCCTTATAAGGCTCTATAGCTGCAACATACCGACCTGGACGCCCACCGCGCCGGCCCGTCCACAAATGGTCGATCATGCCTGATGCTCGCATTCCTTCATGCGAAGTAAACATGAAGCGAAGGGAGTGGCATGAAGCTGCGGTGCTGCGTCTATATATGAGCACATGCAAGCAGCCGTATCTACCGCAGCATCGATGCCTACGGGAAACTCGCCCGAAGTGGTTTTTAGAGTTGTTAAGAACGAAAGTCCTTTGCAGGTTTTCGACCTTCTCACTTCGTTTTTTTGCCGTTTCCCCCCCCCCCACTATATAACGTTTGAGCGAGCACGAAATTGTCGTGAAAACTGCCTTCGAGAAACGTTTTTAGTCAGGATTAGTCCTTCCAAGATTTGATAATTGTCCCATGTGTACGATAGCCACTGCCAGCATAACTAAGCCAGCATAACACCTACTTCTTACAGCCATAACACCTACTTCTTACCTAGTTGCACCCCATTGCTAATCCTTGCTTGCGGCTGTTGGAGCTGGGTCTCAGTAAAGTTGGCGGACCTACTAAGTTGGTATCCGGAGTCCTATTTGATGCGTGGATGGACTTGCAGTGTTGGCGGCCACTGCCCTTCTGCACTGATTACCCCCTCTACACCGCAACAACTTTATGCTGTTTTCCCACTGAGTTCTAGGTTGATTATCGGAGATTTTTTTTCTGCGTTTCCTTTTTTATGTGTGCCACTGTCAATAGAATGCCGATAATAAATCATAAATCATAAATCATAAATCATAACTGTAACTATGAAGCGAAGGGGTACATACATGGAGCCGTACCTAGCCGGAGCGGTTCTTCGCAATACGCCTACGAGATCCGAAATTGCTTTCCAAGAACGAAGGCTCTTCTTCGCAGTTCTTGACCGTTCACTTCGTTTTTTCGCCATTGTCCCCACTAGATAGCGTCCTGGTAGCATTTTAGGGTGAGTACCAAATTATCGCGCCAATTGCCTTCAATACTCCCAGTAAAAACGCTGCGAAATCGGTATCGACGTATGTGCTGCACGCTGATCTGAGGTTAGAGGCGGCGGAATATGTATACGCCGCTCGGATGCACCATCCTCCTGCTCTGTCCTCGTGCACCTTTTAAGCGGAGAAAGTGGCAAGCTTGCAGCTGCGGACCCATCCGCCTTGAACATGGGAGGGACCGTCCTCGAAGGTAAGTGTATAGCTGTGTTTAAAGGTTATCAGATCTCGGCAAGGACACCTTTGAACATCTGTCGTCTGACCGGTAGCGACAGTTTGTATAGAACCAACCGGGTCTGGTTATCGACACGATGGGGCCATTCGCCAATAAAGTCGTACATATGGCAGGATAATTTGGTATTCGGTCAAATGATAGAGGGATGCCATTTAGTGGGGAAAATGGCGAGAAATCGAAGTGAAACGGTCAAAAACCTCAAAAAAACACTTGTCCTTCACGAGCCAGAAAGGAATTACGGACGATTTTTCCGTTGGCATCGTGCCAACAACCGCTACAGTGATACGGCTGCGTGCATGTTTGCATACATGCAGCACCCGGTCGCTTTAAATCAATCCCTTAGCTTCATACTACGGTTCGCGAATGAAGCGGTACGAGCACCAGTATCCGGTCGATTTATTGCAGCTTGATAGGGCATTGTACGGGTATCTTTTTTGGAAACGGCGTCACGGAGCGCCTGCTCAATTCTGTCCTGAGGATGGTGCGAAAGGTTTCGTGCAACGGTTTTCTCTCCCTGACAGCGGATCCTCACCGCTCGCGACGAATGTGCCACATTGTTACCAATCACGATCACAAAATAGGAGGTAAAAGTGGACGTGGTCATCTGATTCCCTTCGTGTTGTTAACAGCGGCTCTCACATTCCAGTATCCATTCTAGAACTTTTCCAAAAAACAAGAATGATAACTACAAATCCAGTGCACGGTATGTTTCATTTCATCCCGCGTCGCCTCAAGATCCGGTCAAGCGAGAATTGCTCTGAAGAATGTCTACCAAAGATAAGAAGGATCAAGAAACTCCGCATTCACAAAAGAAGGATCAAGAAACTCCGCATTCACAACGAAGTCCTCAAGGATCCAAAGATACGACTGATGTGAAGTCCGGTACGCGCTCAGCTAAAAGTGGATCTCGTTCACAAACTTCGAAATCAGCAACGACCACTCAAACTACCCAAGATGGTGGCGACGAAGGTAAGAAAGGTCACAAAGGCATCATGTGCCTCGGGAAGAGCTACCCATAGCGAAGCGTAGTTGCGCCACGTTCTGACAATGCGAAATCAAGCCACTTCAAGTGAGGGAGTGTAGTATAGTGTAGTTCTCTGCGGACGGTTGGGCGTGTCAGTGCGGCTGCGTTTGGCGCGGTGCCAAACTCGTTCTCCACCAGTTGTTGAAGCGAGCAAGTGATGTATCATATCGTTCGTATTACTCGTTTTCTACCACTTTTTGTCGCATGCGCGCTTCAACAAAAGGCAGAGAACGGCTTTGTTGCTGTGCACACTCATTCTGGCTGACACGCCCCACCGTCCGCAGCGAACTACAGTGTAGAAGGGCTCTATGTTGTGGCTTTGATTAAAGACACATGGTACGCTCAAACACATTGAGGGTGTATGAGACTATCAGCCCCCCAGCTGTCGATGTGTCGTGGTCCCCCGCCCAAAACTGCACGGGGTCAGAGTACGGGGCCGTGGGAAAGTCGTAATTCCTTGCTACGCCGCCCTTTCGCAAACTCACGTTTTTACTAACACCGTCCGCGCGGCGCGGTCGCGTGCAGCTCTCTTGGCTTTTTGCCAAGTCCTGTAATTGCGCTTTGGAATACAAGTACAACGCAATTTCTTTATGCGGATAACATTTTAGGTGCTGCAAAATAAGAACTGAAGATGATGACGAGGGCTAGAACTCAAGAGCAACTGTGGTGCTTCTGCAATATCCCTCAGAGGCCGCGCATTCCCACAGAACATGACAATAAAAACGGACAACATGACAATAAAACATGACAATACAAGCAAAACGCAATTTCCTAACATTTGAGGTATTGCTCATGCTTCAATAGAAGGTGATGAAGATGACAAAGGCTAGAAATGAACAACAACGAATGTAGATGTAAATAAACAAAATTGAAAAAACTAAGGAAACGCAAATTAATTAAAATCGCGTGTGCATTTCTGCGATCCGGCTCGAATCCGGCTCTAAAGCTATAGAAATACTTCAAACTAACGAGTGGGACGCTTAGGCCGTTTTTATTGTCATGTTCTGTGGGAATGCGCGGCCTCTGAGGGATATTGCAGAAGCACCACAGTTGCTCTTGAGTTCTAGCCCTCGTCATCATCTTCGGTTCTTATTTTGCAGCACCTAAAATGATCCGCATAAAGAAATTGCGTTGTACTTGTATTCCAAAGCGCAATTACAGGACTTGGCAAAAAGCCAAGAGAGCTGCACGCGACCGTGTTAGTATAAACGTGAGGGCGGTGTAGCAAGGAATTACGACTTTCCCACGGCCCCGTACTCTGACCCCGTGCAGTTTTGGGCGGGGGGACCACGACACATCGACAGCTGGGGGCTGATAGTCTCATACACCCTCAATGTGTTTGAGCGTACCATGTGTCTTTAAGGAGTGTTGGAACAAGCGGTTTGGAAAAGGTTCACCTGCCAATTCCCGCTGGAGATCTGTCCGAACTGAGGCACATGGCGCCGGTTACAAAGTGACATGGCCACTTGGCCACAGCATACCAGGTTCAAAAGCTTGTTTCCAGAAAAGTCCGTCAAGATCCTTGTAGCTAAGATTCGCAAGTGTGACAATTCAGCAGAAAGGGCGGAACTAAGCAAAGAACTAGGGCGCCAGCTAGCCACAGGAAGTGAGTTTTTCGAAGTGCAGGGTCACTTGGGGTACAAAATGCTTCGAAACATCAGTAGTAGAGTTTCGGTACGAGTCCTAGGAGGGAAGGACTTGATGTGAGGATGGAATTTTTCAGAAAGTAGGCAGTTAAAAGACGTATCTCTCCACATAAAGCACGTAGTCAACTCAATTTGCTGAAATTCCTTACCTCAAACGTTATGGCAGAAACGGTGCAAGTGCTATTTTAGAGGTGATGTGCGCGCAGCATCATCATCCGGATCTAAATGATTCATTGGGACAGAGCTGCGATGTGTGAAGCTAATTAGGCAGCTAAACGATACTCTGTTTGATGTAGTGTTTGCTACCCTACAGTGTCTGTTTAGCATCAGTGCTTGGATGCGGGTGATATTTTAGTCGAAGTTTGGCAGCCTGGTGGTCGGGTACCGCTGAACGACGATCACCCGAAACCTTGTGGGAGGGGGGAGCAACCGAAAGTAAGCTGACAGCAACTCAGAGCTGCATCCTATACAGCCACTCTCAAGCTTCTGTGCCATCTCGGTTGTCGTGAAACCCTGCGCCATACGAAAACTTGCCCTTCTGGAAGGACTCTGCAGCAGAAGTAGAACTTGTAAATAAAGCCTTGTCCCTTATCTTGCGTCCTACCTGCCCGCGTTATCCCAACAGCACTTGAGTCTATGCCAAGAATCCGCATGCCATCGATGCACGAACTCAGCGGTTGAGAACAACCGGAAGCGGCTGGTTTCGCGGCAGCATGGAGACAACACACGGATATCAATGCCTCAGCAGGTAATCGTGCACTTCTGACTAGAGAAAACGGCACGTAACGACCCATGCACTTTACACAAGGCATAGACCACGACAGACTCAGGTTACGGCGGCTCAAAGTGTTGCAGGACTTGTTTTCTAGCCCAATAGAGTAGTGTGAGCAAGGGTAGGCCCTCTCTCCCTAGGGGGCTTCGGTGGTGCTCTCATGAGAGAATAGACGACCGGGGCTAGAAACGTTGGAATGACCATTCTCCATACAGTATTTGCGAAGGTTGTTATGTTCCCTTCCCCCGGAGGCCTCGATAACCCCAGCTTCAGAAGTTCGTGGCGTATTTGCTGCAACATTTCTGTGTCGCGTGAGCGATGCAGCCGCTGATATGGCGATCAAATCGTATCTTATAAAAGGAAGGACTAATACTTCGGGTGAAGACATGGAGGCTTTGAAGCCAAAAGCTCTCACAATGTGATCAGGTCCGGAGTCTAGAATGGTAGCAAGGGTGCTTCAGTAGGAAAAAGCGGAGTAAAACGGTCAGAAACTTGCAAAATAGCTGTTTTTCGAAACGACCCAGAAAGCAATCTCGGACAAGCCTAGGCATCGTGCCAATAACCGCTACGGTAGATACTGCTGCATGCATGCACTCATTATATCCATGCAGCATGGCAGCCGCTTCATATCAATCCTTTCGCTTCATATTGTACTTCATTTCAGACATTTGTAGGCGAGCGGGCGCGATGGGTGTCTGGGATAGTATGTTGCACTCGATAGGGCGTTATACTTTCCTCGGGAAAGGCACTCCTAGAGCACCTGCTCAGGGACTCGGAATTCTGCGCTACTAGGCGTGTTCATTCCACACGTCTTAAGTTTATCGTGCCGCTTTCCACAGTTCGGACTCTTGGAGTTAATGCCGATTGCGTGCGGAAGTTTCGGTTGTGGGCAGGTTCGCCCCGCAAAGGATAACCATCACTATAGCGATATTTGATTAGTTGATCAGCTATTTCTACCACACTGTATCTACCTTTTGACAGCTCATTTCTACCACACTGTATCTACCTTTTGACAGCTCTAAGTTATATGACCACTACTATGATCAGTCAGAATCGCTGAACTCTTTCAGTGTTGACATTGTTCATCTTCGGCCTGTTCTTGTTCATTGCAATCGTCGAGATCGTCGTGGGCTCGCTCAATGTTCACAACTGTCAGTGAATAATATGATTCCCATATGGCTGATCGTTTCTGGTGGTGTCAGCTGCTTGCGGTACACACTACATATTTGCTTCGGAATAGTGGTCAGTTACGAAGCTAAGTTTTTAGTTGTATCATCGATTAATTTCACGATCACCAAGAACTTTAGGCGCAAAGGGCTGCATTGCGGTGGATAGATGAATTGGACGTTTTCTAGAATTCCAAGCCAGACTGCAATTGGTGGGGTTTATCGCTTAGGCCGCAATGCAGCCATTTGCGTTCATAGTACGTGAAGGTAGCCTCTGACCTGATCTAATATAGAGTCCTCATCGCTGCGAATCTGGGGCGCATCAGGGAGGGGTTGAGCGCGGCGCGAACCCCTTTTTATCAGTTCTTGTCAATTGCCATCTTTAATGATCCGCTCCAAACCCAGATTTTTCTTCCTCATTAGCGCGCCATGTCTGTTTGCCGTCCTAGAAGATGTCACCCATCACTGAGAATATCCTGACTTCCAAAGTAGCCTCATAGCGACCGGTAGTTACCCCTAAGCAGCTTTGGCAGTCATCATGAAAGAAGTAACCGTTTGCGTTCATAGTACGTGAACCTGGCCTCTGACCTAATCTAACATGCAGTCCTCGCTGCAAATCTGGCGCCGCTCCAAACTCATCCCCCATTTCCTCTTTAGCACGTCACATCCATTTGCCATCCTACAAGAGGTGTTCCATCAATGAGGAAGGTCCTATGGCGGGTTATGATCTCAAAGTGCGATCAGCGCGGAGACTACTTTGAAGCAGCCCTGACAGCTCATCACGAAAGGAAGGTACAGTCTTGTACGCTGCAGCGCGCTCGGTGCATTCCACAATAAGGCTCGGTTTGAGGCGGCGCCTGCTCGTTGCACCAGTTGATGTCACTTTCCCGCTCCAATTTCAACGCGCCAAACTCCACCATCCCTGACACGCCCCAGCATTTCTGGCATGTTATTGAGGAGAAATTGGGCTACTTCTTCGAAAAAGTACTTTTAATTACAAGGTGTAGCTGCAATCACGGGTAAAATGTTAGAACTAGATTTAGTGTAGTCAATCTGAAGACTGAAAATAAAGACGATCCTTCCCGGCATCGTTGCCATAGGAAGCAGCGAAGAACTTGAATGTTTAAGTACAGAGGGACAGAGGGTTTTACCTAATTAACTTAATTAAGGATCGAAACAAAGGCGATCTGCTCAAAATACGTGCATTCTTGGAACCCTTCTTTTGCATATTTTGGATTATTTGGTTAGTGCAAATTTTTATTGCTTAGTTTGAACAATTTATAAGTTTGCGACTTAGTCACACTTTGCGACTGCAGAGTACATGAATATTGTTTCGAGAGTTTAGAGAATTGGCGTTTCCAGGGAATTCCCGAGAAGAAAAGTATAGATACCGATATGGCATCCTGCAGGAACATGGGGATAGTTTAAAGATGATGGCAGCTTAGGAGAGTAGCAGGACCCCGCATTGAGCTGCATGCACAGCGACCATTAGCTGCGAGCGTTCGTCAGCGTCAGCGACTAGGAAGGTATTGATATCGATTTACCGAACGTCAGCGTCCACCAGCGTCCATCAGCGTCCACCGGCGTCCGCCAGCGACCATCAGCGTCTCGAGGGACTAGGAGTAGTCATCGATCTAACGACGAGCACCTGAGAGGATCGAAGCCGGTCTTAACTGCCCAACCAAATCTACTCTTCTAACGTAGTTAGAAATCAATACGTACAGTACTAGCGAAGTTGCAAATGTTGATTGTAAAGCTCAACTTTCTTCTTTCAAGGTTAATTCTTGGTACTTTCTGGACCTACAGTGTCAGCAAAATTGTTACATACGACAAACAAGATGGTTCTACTTACTGTGATCATCTTACCTATGTATTGGCTTTTGTCATTATCACCGCCATTTGGGTGATTATGGTAATGTTTCTAGTCTCTTGCTGTTGCTGTTGTTGTATCTGTTGTGTTGCTGCGTTGTGCGCAAAAGCTCCCCCTTCTACATCCAAAGAAAAGGAAGAAAAGGTTGATGAGTAGACAGTTCATTCCCAAATATCACTTATTCAATTGAATCACAAAATTATTGTATTGAATGTTTTCACCATCAGTTGCTACTGTTTAGCAAATCGTACTGGTTCACTTGAGATTTGGACCATCATTATACTGACACTGTTTTCTGGGATATAAAGATTTAAGCATCTGCGTGGTCGCGTCATATTCTGATTTTCCGATTGCCTTCAAAACATAGAATAATCACGTAAATGATGAAGGAAAGATGTACCGACCAGAAGGTGCGTCCTGGCCCAAGAAGCGGCTAAATGTTGGCGTTGGTGTAACGCAGGTCCCCGATCCCAAAAGTGTCTCTGACGTCATACAGCACTTAAATTACGTGCCGCGGATCATGCGGAGAATGGGAATGTGACAAGAGAACCGAAATTCGCCGCGCTAATGGGCGTCGCGTGCGACGTTGCACCCGCAAATGATGATTCGTCCAGGTCGTAGATGGCGACAACAGGCAATTCAGAACCGAAAATAGTCATGAATGTCTACGATGACGGGGTCTACATGAAGTCCGGTGCTTTAATCGACAAAGTGACACGAGTTAAGAAAGCGCCGCGCTCATCGCCGCGCGCGGCGACGCGGCCTATTACGATTCTCTTGCCCGTCTCCCGTGGAGAGTTCATACATCACAAACGAGTAATGGGCGCAGTTTGTCGACGGGGGGGCATGCTTTCCATAGACGTGCCGACCCATCTAGGTAGCCTTTTCTCGAGTTGACACGTTTCAGGATGGTGGCTAGACGATCTTACTCCAGCTTCACAAGCGTTCACAAGTTTACCAGAGTGAGATTTGTAAACCGGAACTAGGGAAGCAATGGTAGTACAAAATGCCCCCCTTCGACAAACAGCACCCTAGTAATGTACTTATCAGAACCAATCCTCACTTATCAGTAACAAGCCCAATCATTAGCCTGCGCCTAATTGGTCACTAAAAACGAGTGTACGCTCAACCACATCAAGGCAGGTGACAATAATTCCTCAAGATATGTGGAGCACCCACATACCCAGCAGGACGGAATTTGGCCTCCCTGTAGGCGCTGCGCATCGCCTTTTCCAAGGAAAGTACCTCTGTAGCGTCCTGTCAAGCTGCAACATACCGACCCAGACGCCTAAGGCTGCCTTTATACTTTGCGGCAGCGCAGCGTAGCGCTTCCAGCGTTTCGCTAGCGTTTGCAGCGGCGGGGCTAGAGAGTATAGAAGAGTAGGAGAGTACAGAATACTCTCCTACGCTAGAGAGTATAGAAGAGTAGGAGAGTACAAAATGCTCTCCTACGCTAGAGAGTATAGAAGAGTAGGAGAGTACAAAATGCTCTCCTACGCTAGAGAGTATCGAAGAGTAGGAGAGTATTTTGTACTCTCCTACTCTTCTATACTCTCTAGCCCCGCCGCTGCAAGCGCTAGCGAAACGCTCGTGAAACGCTGGGAGCGCTAGATCGATATCTATCCTTTCCCCGACACTGCCGCTGGCGTACGCTGGAAGCGCTACGCTACGCTGCCGCAAAGTATAAACGCAGCCTAACGCCTCCGCGCCCGCCCGCCTACAAATGTCCAACATGCTTATACCCGTATCGCTTTCGGTTGCGGTGCTGCATGGATGTATGGGCACATACATGCAGCCTAGGCACCATGCCAACGGAGAACTCGTCCGAAACTACTTGCTGAGTCTTTGTAGAACGACGGCTTTTTGCAGGATTCAGCCAATTTCACTTCGCTCTGCTAATTTTAGACAGAGTACCAACTTATCGTGCCTCATGCCTTCGAGTGGTACTTTCATGCTCTCGATCTCGCTATCCTTACATTCTATAAACGGCACTCGTGTGATTCTATCGTCGGCAAGCCAAGCGACGCCGCACACGCCGCGCACGGCACGCCGCAACGCGGCAATCCCGGAGTGGCATTACCGTACTCCCGAGTTGTCATTGGAGCAAGGGATTAGCGTTGTTTCACGGCGTCATTTAGCATTCGCCATTCGCTTTTCCATGCTCGACAATCATTTAGAGCAATACACCCGCTGCAGGCGATTGTCATGGTGGCATTTCCCTTGTCCTTCTTCATTTTTCGTCCTATCTCTTTATTCGTGAACGTTCGTTTAGGCTGTCCTTTCAAGCACGTAGATCATCAATTGCTCGGTCAACGGTTAGAGAAAGATGGATTGAATAGTGAAGAAATAAACCAGGTTCGTATTTGTTGCTGAGTCTAGGATGATATACCTGCTGCTTTCTGTACTATATTGAGATAGAACTTGTATATATTATTGACGCTTTGTAGCTGCGTCGATGTGGCCTTGTTATATGGGGCGCAATGGAAGCTTGGGGACCACAAGGTGCCTAGCAGTCACGGCCAGGGCACGAAATCGTGTTTTGGAAAGTCTCTGATGTTACAACCTTCGATCCCGCTTCCAGTTTTCTGCTCTTGTGCAAACAATGTTTAGCCTTCGTAGCCCCTGACCAATTTCTCTCAAATTTTCGACGTTGGGGAGGATTACGACTTGGATTTTTTACTCCAACTCCAATTGTGACCACTCTACGCAGCGGCCATATACGAAGCTATGCTTTCAATATACCTTTCCATGTCTATTGCGGTTGTTCGCTGCAGATGCTAAAGCATGTCAGAGGCCGGATTTGGCGCGACTTCAAGCCGTGCTCCACCGATCTGAGAGGCTGATTGGCGTCTACTTTAGTTGGTAGAAGGACTGGCAACATCCCAAATCTGGCCCTTTGACACTCCCCAATGTCGGAACAAAACTACTCGCATAGGAGTTTCGGCCGCGGCCTTGTCTACAAAAATAGTTGCAGTTATGTGGTGAAAGCATTACATGGCCATTCAACACAGTAATTACAACTCTTTAAGATAATGAACTACTCCAAAGTGAATGCATTCGATAAAGCATGTACGCGCCACTTCGAATACTTGCATAAAATGGAGGAGGTGCACTGGGACAGCTGATAACACATCCGAATCATTACTTTGAATTGTCGCAAGAGGTTAGTTGTTTTTCACAGTACTTGTTGAGATACTGATGGCAACTAGAGACTTATGTTAGACTGAGTCCTTCGCGTTTCCTAGCAGGGTTAATTGTGTAGGAATTTGCTTGGCGGAGTTTTGTGCACAACCTCATACTTGCTTCCGTTTTGCACATGTGCTATGAACCCTTTGCTCGTACAGGCACGATATCTAAGAAACCTAGCTGTTCGGAGTTTCGAAGGTCATTGACTCCAACCAGAGTGTCGGTGTAGAATTTGTTCATTCTTGCTGTTCCTGCTATCATTCATGAACAATTAGCGTTGATACAGGTTCTGAGTGGAGCACGTTCTAAAATCATCACCTGATCCAGTCACACAGCTCACGAATGCCTGCACAGATAGTCAAGAAGGAGGAGGACTTTTCGGATAGCGAACAGTAAAGCCTGAAAGACTCATAGAACTGCCTTCTAGGATCTTACGTGTTTCATCTTTTTTTTCTCGATATTTGTTGTTTACTTCCATAGTGATGCACTATTTCACTTTCTGCTTTACTGTGTTTAACCATTATGGAGACAAGTTGAAGCCCCTTTTTTACGTGATTGAGACCTTGTCAGATCTTTTTACAAGTCTTATGAAGTCACTCATATCAAATAGCTAGTACTTTCCTATCATGAAATAATCTTTTCTGATTTTGTGACTGCCTTTGCATTATCATCTCCGAGACTGATGGACGCACTTTGTTGTTGCGAGTTTTTCTCTTCGTTTGAGTGGTGTTTTTAGGGTAAATTATTAAATTTTGGTGGAGCGCTTTTTCAAACATCATCAGCAGCTAGTGACAGCTGGGAACCATTTGTATACGTTCCGTAGGACATTTACAGTCCTCATCATTACGGTTTCTTGGGGCGTGTCAGTGTGGCTGCGTTTGCTGCGGTGAAAAACCATCAGTTGTTGACCACCTGCACCAGTTGTTGAAGCAGGCAAGTGACATTACTGTATTATATCCTTCGTATTACTCGTTTTCTACCACTTTTTGTCGCATACGCGTTTCAACAAAAAGGCTGAGAACGGCTTCAACAGTGTGCGCACTCATTCTGGCTGACACGCCCCACCGGTCCGCAATGTAAGGACTGCACAGCACCTTTGCTAATCACCTTCAACTAAGTAGCTTCAAAAACCGTGGTGACAATTTGAAATCATTTCACCTTTATGCACGTCTCACTGTCAACAACCAATCGATTAACAATCACCAGAAACAAAAGTTGGAAAATACTACTACATACTACATATATACTCTCGTCCTGCCACACTGGCAGTGTTCTGCCCAGTAACTGCTAGAATGCTAGTATCCTTACTAGTATATCTACTCAAAGAATGTCATCATACTGTTACATACACATCTTACGAGTGAATAGTCACATTCATTGCTCGAGGCGTTGATGAAGAGTTAAAACTTCTTTTGTACTTAGGCAGCAAAGCGATAACAACCATGAACATCCTGATAGTAAAAAGAGAGATCAAAGAGAAGCTGAACGGGAACCAAAAAAGCTTACTTTTCTCTTTTTGACTGCGTAAGCCGCTGATCATTAAGCAATTCGTCCAACATCGTCCGCTTTCTTTCTTTCTTGGTCATACGACTGCTATAGAAATCTTGGGGAGCATCAACAACACGTCCAACCTAAAATGTAGAGTCACATTCTCGATTCGTCAAGCTGTCAGTGGGAAGAGTGACAAGAGCAGGGGGTAACGAGGCAATCTGAGAGAGCAATGGAATCCCAATGTAATGAAGGGATGTTTGAAGATGTTGAGACCGAAAGAAGACCTGAGAATCGTTATTTCAAAGTAAATTCAACATCTCAATATTGTCAGAAACTTATATGCAGTGGTGTGGCAGCACCGGTGCGAGATAACCATAAGCTAATAAAAATGTCAAATTAATCGGTCCATAACTATGGATAAATAGGCCTACAATCGCAAACTGAAAATAAACGCTGACTCACCTGGAAGTACTTGGGCAAAACGTTGCGGTCATTTCTCAGGTAAAATGCCAAAGGATCGATAGCAGCACGCATTTGAAGTAATTCCAGATCAGCTTTTGCTTCCTCCGTGAGTTCAGTGGCAGGAAGATCGAACCAGTCGCGACCCTTCGTTTTCTCTCGCTCCAACTGAAGAAAAACAGGTCACTGGACTGAAAGATCCATCAGAAACCAGAACAGAACATATAACATTCACCGTTCTTATAAGTTGATGAAGCATAGCCCAAAAACACAATGTGACCTCATTTAACATAAATTTCTCTACAGTGCACAATACTCCTCCTTATCAAAACGCGTCGTAAAAAACTTCGAACCATCCAAGTACCCAGATACCCACCTTCCTTAACCTCTTCATGGCTCTCCTTCCCATAGTTTTTGCTGTTTCGCCGTAATTCTTTTCAAAAGACGGGCCACAAATTGCTTTGTCGAGAAGCTAAAGAAAATGAGATCAGTCACAGAAGCCTGCTGGACATACCTACAACCATTGGAGTTCAACAAATACAGAACAAATCCATTACGAAAACGGTGGGGAAAATAGCAACAGACCTTCTGTATTTCCTTCATCCATGAGTTTATCATGGGATTTGACGTCGTGGGAGGGTTGTTTTGATTTTTTCTCTGCAACGTCTTTCCCGCTTGGCGTAGGCTCAGGTGGCATCTCGTCTGCATTTCCAGTGTCCAGGACGAAGAAGCCATCTGATTCATCTTTCGACTGGAATAAGCATTGGAGTAATTGAGCAAGATGCCAACCGTGAGCTTCATTCCGTGCTGCTTCAGGTTCGCGGAATGTTAGGCAGCGTTACGAAAATCATCCGCTTCGCTTGAAACTGCCACATCACAGGCGCCAGCGCCAAAATACCCTATGTCACCCAAGTCGACGGGAACTTGTGAGCCGTACTACTTGAGTTATTAGCCATACTTTTTACTAGTACGACATTTATTCTTGGCGCCGGCTCTAACATAGGACACTATGATCATCCGCGCTAGCTAGGACTAAGCCTGACCTGAAGGGAGTTACTCGTTTCCCATTCAGCCTCAGAAAAACGCTAAGTAGCGCTGGTATGAAAAACAAGTGCCATACTCGTTCAGGGCATGAAACAACCCTGTTGGAAAGTTTTTAATCGGTTTTCGGAGGGAAAAGTGCGGTGACAAATGACGCCAGCGTCAAGAATAAATGCCATATTCGTTATCAGGATGTCAGTTTAACCCCCGTATAAAGGTTTGCATCAGATTTGGTGCTGGCGTCCATGGAATGCGCTTCATATCAGAATGAACGCAAAGAAGCTAAGCAGGAGGGAAAATTGATCAAGTCAAAAGTTCAAAAACACCTGTAACAAACCTACTTTCTCCCTTTCGCCAGGGAATCTTAAAATCATCAGATGCAACAGGCAAGGGCGATCTCTTCTTTGGAACCTCATCATCTTCCTCGGAGTCGCTTTCAGCCGTAGGCTTTTTGGGTTTCGATAGCAGGGGACGCCTTCCTCAATGATATCATTCCTAAAAATACGATGAAGCAGCATGAAGAGGGAGGCACGACCATTTGAAATTGTTTTCTCGAACAGCATCAATATTCTGCTCTTCCTTGCACTTGAAGAGGATAGTTTTGGTAGAATTCGTAACGCTTTAATAAATAAGAGTATAAGGTACTCACTGATTTTATTCACTAAAGACGTTCACAGCATAAGTGACGGAGTCATTTGCTGTTGTAAATAAATCATGTTAAACATCAATTATGCAACTGAAATCCAGCTGGTTCAGCGGCCGGATACAAACTCTTGGTAAACAAAGGAATGGAAGCGAGTTGTAGAAACAGTCTGCATATTCTGGAAGCCTGATATAGTGGGCGGTACTGCATTTCTGAGCGATGTATGAGCCCTCGGAAGTACATCGTTGTCGCCTGAATCATCACTTTGCGCCACAATTCATGTCACCTTTCACCTGTGCTCCCGTTCATTATCGTTCTCCGAGCGAGTAACATTCGTTGCCAGTAACTTACAATCCAGCTCACAGGTTTCTCAGCAGCATTTTTTTGATACTGTTAGTACTCTGGCGCTCCTGAATGTAAGTCATGCCACTGTATCAGTAGATATGTAGCTTTCTCTTCTACGATATAATATCGTAGAAGAGAAAGCTAAATGAATAGAGAGAGAAAAGAGAAGATCGAAATGTGGGAGAAAAGAAGACGCACCCTTTATGTACGCGACTGTTCGGTGATGAACTCGGACATTCTTCGACAGTAAGTGGTTATCGTTGTGGTCCGAATGAAGGCGTTGCGGCGAAGGACGATTTTGAAGCGGGCCATCTCTCTGGATACGCGACGACGTCGCTGGACATCCTCTGGGCGAACACGTTTCGGTTCTGCTCTCCTCTGCAAATAATGAGTGTTAGGAAGGAGATGTAGGTAACAGCTGAAGTGAAAACTGACCCGGTCAGCGTTGTCGAGTGTTCCTCTTGCTTTGCCCACAAAGCCGTGCAGTGCGATAATGAGGTCTGCCATAGGGGGATACCTCACTCCAAGCACAACTCCAAGTTCTCTGAAAGTCACCAGATATTATGAGACACGAAAGCGTTTCATAACCGTCACGAACAAACCTGTTGAAGGCTTCGGCTACATTAGTGGTGCGGAGACTTTTCTTGTTCCATTTGTTCCACATGTCCCTGAAAGGGCCCTCGTACCAATGGCGCTGAAGGTAGTCGAGAAACTGCACGCAAAATCATACGCGCTATGTCCCCTAGGAACAGGTGGTTTGAAGCGCGCAGGGACCCGTCGGTGTAGGTTAGGTGGCAAGAAGATCAACCCCTTAATAGTGTTCCACCATCTTTCAATCCTCCTACACCGTTGGGGCCCCCTTACCTGCGGGAGCAACCCAAGATCATCTCTTTGTCTGTTCCACGCGCGCGCTAAATGGAAAGCGCACCCCTCTACTGATGCGCTTGGGAAGCACCTCCTGGCCGCGTTAATGGCGGCTTTCTCAAAGTCCAATACAATTCGTATGTCTTCTGATCCGCCAGCTGCGATGATGGCATCCCTCACTGCTTGAAAGATCCGCTCATAAATACGTTGGTTTTTCCTGGAACCACAGCAAAAGAGTAACAGAAAAAGATGCAGCCAAAACCATTCCAATATCAAGCTAGCAGAATCTCACCTTAATGCAATCGCGAAAGCTAGCGGGAAAATCCCTAAGGCCCGGCACCACTCCGTGGACGGTGTAAAGTTGCCCATGCTTGTTCGTTATTTGCGGCTGAAGGTCGTGGACTCCATCAGCAACCAAGGCACGAAGCCCCAAACGACAAGCCTTCTGTAACATGAAATTGGAATCAGATCGCGAGAAAAAAGTTTATTAAAGACAGCTCCCGCGATAAAAGTCTCATGGATAGCTGCTTTCCAATTATGAAACAGCAGCTGATAAGTAATCTCCCAAAGAAGAAAACAGGCAAGAAGCGTTCTCCAGAACAACATAAACAAAATCGCTCCCTCACAGTCACACCTCCCTGCGGTCTCTGTGCAACCCCTAGCTCACAAATCTCTCTATCACATCTCGCAGTAGTTGATATCATCCAGTGCAAAAAAAGAATACAAAAAGAAAACAACAAAAACGCAGAGGAAAAACTGGGAAGGAAAAAGGAATTTTATCAACACGGTGTCTGAATTTGTGATTACGGTAGCGCACTTTTGTGTACTCGTGTTTTTTACGCGTTTCACCTCGCGAAATGGGTTGAATTGAATGTATATACCTCCAATGAGTAAACTGTAATGAAGGAGAGCAGAATTATCCAGGGGCATTAGCAATGCCCGCCGCCCCAACTAAGAACAAGTGAGTGGCCTCCGTCGGAGGACATCTAGCAAGTAAAGGCGGTCCGACTGAGGAGGAGTTAGAACTAGCACTTTGAGCGGCTATAGCAGCCTCCACGCTCACAATAGAGTCGCGAAAGGTGAACAGTCTTCTAGCTTGGAGGCTAGACTACTTGCACAAGAAAGGGCGACCATGGGCTACTCAAGCGCGGGGGAAGTCTTTAACATTAGAACTCACTGCTATAACATCTGTAGAGTAATAAATGTGCAGGTCTGGGCTCATGTGCTGCAAGAAGGACGTTCCCTCCTCCAAAAAAGCGTACTCCGGCGGCACGTTGTCCATCGTGACCCGCCTATCGTGAAGTTTCGCAGTTGCCCTGAATGTTTACCTCATTTCATTAACCTCTAGTTGGCATTATAAGTTAATGCAGACCTTGCAAATACTGAGCGGCGTGACTCGTAACCATCACGGACGAAAAAACCAAGCATCTCGTCTCGCTCCCTTTCACCTAAATACGGCGAAACATGAAACTCAGGCCTGTGTTCAATGGATATATACAAGCTACTTACCAGAAACGTCACTATTTTGAACTCTGAGCAACACCTGCTGGTATACTTGACGTGGTTTAACGTGCGCAAAGCGAACTGCCTTCGGAACTTCATGGCAAGTCTGCAACAGACAGCATTATAAATGGAACAATCATTGTAATCGCAGCTAAAACCCTTGAGTGTCATGTGCTACCTCTAATACCATACGCTCGACTTTCTCCTTTGAATTCCTCCATGGCATGCAGATGTGCGGCAGGTGGACGGGATCGGTAACTAGGTTGCATTCATTGACCACCTGAAACTCTATGAATCAACGAAATGCTGAACAAGCTTCAAATTCGCATTACCGCAATGCTCACGGTCTTCCCACTCTTGCGGCATCCCGTGCAGCGATACACAACATTCCCTTGTCTCGTCGTTCGGAGGTGCTCGAAAACATAACACAAGGTCTGACCTGTAAAAAAATTGCGATCGACAGCTTGCCCAGCTAGGTCCGAATGATGTACCTGGTATCGAGTATCTTATAACCTTGTGAATTCCTTGCTTACTTTCCTCCAGAGCTCCACTAAACAATTCGCCCGTGAGGTTTACCTTTCGACGAGGGCGGCTGGGTGAGCCGCAGTGGCAAGAAGAGGTGTCACCTGCTGCGGATCGAAACCCGCCTTGGCCAGCCTGGTCTTCTTCTTTCCTGGAGAAAGTAACTCTGTAGCAGTGAAACCTAATTCGAGCAAGGAGAACATAATACATTCCTCACTGATCAAGCACATCCTGATCTTGATTCTTGGATACTGTCACGAATCAAAACATATGAATGTGTAAAAGATCTGCAGCAACGTTGACGTTGATGTAAACTCACTCCAAAGGCAAAAAACTGCTGTAGTCTTGGTCGATTGTTTGAGAACTGTCCAACGCTGTCGTGTCCATCTCCTCGTAATCTTCAGCCCCTCGCTTTATAGAAGTACTGAAAAAAATATTAAACGCATGTAGCTGAACAGGAGCAGCCATGACCTAAAAAAAGAGAAAGCCATCCAATCAAAGAGAGAACCATTGCAGGAATTCCACGGGACAATGAAAAATAGGTGAAGAGCAGAAAAAAAACAAACTTCTTCTTGCAATGTGGGCAGTGCGCCAGATAATTGCTCAAGGTGTCGAATATTTCGGAACAGTGAACACATTGGACACGACAACTGCTAGCTGGTGCACGAATAGCGCTTCCTTGAGGTTCGCGATGTCCTGGAAATAAATGCACTCAAGAAAGCGGTCGAATCGAAACAAGAAAAGAGCAAATGAAATAGCATTCGGTTATCTCATTCAAAGACGTGCAGAGATAAAGAAGTGGCAGGGAAGCAAAGAAGTTAGCTGCGTGAGCTTCTATATTGTTTGGAATCTAGTACATTTAGGTACCTGTGAAATTTGGCCTGCATGGTTGCAAAGGAGAGACTCATGAAACTGAAAAGAAAGCTCACTGGTCCAAACTGTCTGCCACAAAGTGCAGCATTTTATTCGCTCTCGTTAAAAAATGACGGATCTACTTAACTTCAATTATTGACATTTTAAGGATTGCAGAACACAGAATCTCACCAAGAGTAATTATACGGCGACAGTTTCCGCGTGGGCATGCAATACGTGTGGATGCTACTTCGCAAATTAGAAGACAGTTGCATGGGCAACGTACATATCTGAAAGTTAGGGATCACAGTTACTTAAGATTACGTCCAACGTATAACAACTAATCTTACAAAATTACTGATACAACTGAAATAAGTTACGGAAACGTTGAACATACTTCACGCCATCAGGAGCCGGACGAATTGGTGTAGCTTCGTGACACCCATTGCAGTTCACAACATGTTGGTTGTCACGACCGTTGAGTTCAATTTCCTCGCCACAAACATGGCACATGACTGTCGCACCTGATTGTTGAGATCGGGATGGATAAATGAGTACCAGAACGAAACAATCATTCACGCACAATAACTACAGCAATAACCCCATCCGAATAACGAACCTGTTGTGTGCGTCCTGCTAGCATCGTCTACACTTCCTACACTTTCATGATGCGTATTTTCGCATCGTATCATACGAGGGAATGCCATGATCACGACCTCGTTGGATATTCAGTGAGCCAAGATCCGTGCTGAAAGTAAACATGCAGAAAAGCGCAATACACGTTGATTGCGTGGGCTGGACACTTCACCCTTTTGCTGGTTACTTTTATCCTTGGTGCTAACAAGGGAGGTCGTTCAGGCCGTGGTGAGCTTTTTCAAAACGGTTTGTTGCATGTTGTAGGGGTCCATACAAGGACCACACAGATGGGTTCATTTTTGCTAAACGCTATTGGGAATGTCAAAAAAAGGTCGAAAATAATTCGAAATGAATGCATTGCATTGCATTGCATGCCTAGTGTGGTGCTTGAAATTGGACCTTATTCCGTATTATTTTCCATGTCTATTTGAGGGACACATCATCAACTATATGTATTCTGCTTTACAGCTAGAGCACCCTTCAAGATGTCTAGTTTTTTTGGGTGATATGAAGCTTCCAGGAAAAGAAAATGGAAGCGGAACGAGCGAGATACAAGAACGAAATGAAACAGTTGCAAGGAAAACTTCGTCGATTGGCACTGAATAATAAGGTAGGGGAGTCAAGGCGTGTCCGAGGTCCGTAGGATAGCCGAGGGAAAACTTATCCACAGGAACTTCCCCCATTTCAGGAATTGCTTCTGACATGTCAAAAGATCCGTGAAGACGCTTTGGCTGAAATTAATGCGAAAGCGACAGCGAGAATCAAGGAGTCAGATGAACAAGCCCTGTTGAAGATGCGGTATGTAAACTAGTATAGGGTAGAACAAGCTAAAAGCCTTGGAAAATCACAAAACGAGTAGGGAAATAGGAGGATGCTGTCCCATCCGCGTAATTTCTATGCAGTCCGTATCTGAGGGTAATAAGAGGAGTGGCTGCCAGGCTGCGACAGACAAAAGAGAGGCGGAGACGTATAGTCACCTTCGCTGTAGACGCTGGGACGTGCCAGGGGGCTATTTGGCGCAGCACTAGCCCCTTTCCACCATTTTTTTTTGTCGCTTTTCAAGAGGAGAGAGGCTACCGCAAGAGAGGCTAGCGCCGCACCAACATCATTACGGCATAAACCTTGACCTGTACAGTGTCTCTATGTACAAAAATCGTGGAGATTTTGGCGAAATTGTGTCTAAATTTTACTGGAAGTCTGAATCAAAGTTGAATGTGCGGGGCATCCCAGATTACTTTGCAATTTTTGCAAACAACTTGCGTTCAGATATGACCTTGAAAAAACACGGAAGGAAATCAAAATGCTTCGAAAAACAGTTGACGAAATAAGAGACGATATGATGAGAAACATGTGTTTTGCTTTACAGCTAAAGCAGAGGCAAACAAGATGATAAAACCTGCGTACTGTGAGCGATTTGTTTTTATTCATTTTTTGGCATTCCCAATAGCGTTTAGCAAAAATGAACCCCATCTGTGTGGTCCTTGTATGGACCCCTACAACATGCAACAAACCGTTTTAAAAAAGCTCACCATGGCCTGAACGACTCCCTTGTTAGCAGCTGAACACAGTCAATAAGGCGAGAGACGAGAAGACGAGTTGTCCGATATCAGAGAATAGCTACACAGGTTCAGTGGAGGTGGTAATTGCGGCCATCAGCGTCACGGGAACGATCTGACAGATGGCGGGCACGCCATTCGACCGCTTTCCGATGTAAACACTGACTATCGAGATTTTGAAGTTTGGCGCGCAAATTATTAAAGGGATCATCCGCCCTTTAACAATTTGAACGCCACGCAACAAACACGTACGCGCGGCCGCCACGCCACCTCGCTCCTCCCACTGGCGCGACGACCCCACGATAGAATGACCACACACCCGCTTGAAAGTGACTTCTTGACACTGAAGTTCAACTAACCGTTTTCAAGTTTACGTTCCATTTCTTCGGCCTGAGAAAGTAGGGTCTCCCTTTTTTCCATCTCTACTTTGAGATCTTGAGTGAGCTCATTGATTGCTTGATTGCATTCAGCGTAACATTCGCTGATGTCTTCCCTTCGCTGTT